AAATCATTGAGCTACATTTTAATTATTAAATATCATAGGCCATATAAATACATTTATTATGATTTTTATAATTACTACTGATAAAAAATGTTTTAAAAAATATTTAAGAGGGGGGTCTGGGGGTCCTCCCCCTGAAAAATCTGGGCTTTAAACACTTAATTTCCTGCATTCTGGTGAATTTTTTGAACCAATTTATTGAGGAAATGTCTGAGGTGACAATTCAAAATAAAAAATATAGTGTAATATAATGCAGTAAGGCTATCAGGCATTCTGGATTGTTTGTCCTGTAGATCAACCTTTCTCATACAATTTAGTCCCAGCTGAGTCTACATACATGCAGGCATGCCTGAAGTAGCCTAAAGTCGTTGTTAATGTGCATATGGCACCTTTTCACCTCAATGATAAATTAGCTTAATCAATTTTAATAAAGTAAAAAAAGTATTTATTAATTAAATATTGGGGCGTCTGGGGGTCCTCCCCCTGAAGATTCTGAGCATTAAACACTTAATTTCCTGAATTCTGGAGACATTTTCTGCACCAATTTATGGTGGAAATGTCTTTAGTTTTATAAAGGGAAGGACAAAATATAGGTGGCAGATGATAATTCAGAATATAAAAATATAATAGAATGTAATGTAGTAATCAGTAGCTTATTCTTTTTTTTAGTTTATATCTATAAATCGGTTATTTTCGCGCATTTGGCGAATACTTATTTTTTTGACCCACAACACAAGAAACAGCTCGAGCAGAGGGGGAGGGAGTCGGGGCTGTAAGAGATGTCACTGGGCCAGAACAATGTCAGTATTGGCCTATGCTTTATGGGACGATTGTTGCACATTTTTTTATGTAAATAAATTATTTAACTTGTAGCCTATACTCGAGCGCACTGCTCTTCACCAGAGAAAGAAAACCGAACCTGAAAACACTTGTGATCACACAGAAATATCACCACGATTCCACACAAATGTTCACTTTCAAAGTGCAGCTCACAGCCGCTTTAGAGGGAATGAAGCATCCTGGAGACAATGAAACAGTAGTGTCTCACAGCGAGGGGGACAGAAACGGCAGCACGAGCGCTACCCTGAGCGTCAGGTGTCATGATATTGTCTCACTACTTTGCGGCGACTCTCAACCGTTTGTGATAATACACTGACTAGACACTAACCGACAACACATATGTAAATGTTGGCTATTGATTACAATTTTGCTAGAGACAATTCAGAAGTTGTGGACAAGCCCTGAAGCTGTGAGCATTGCGCTGTCTCTCTCTCTCTCTCCCCTCTCGTGCTTACTCGCAGGCAGGCTGGGAAACGGCGGGGGGTCACGTTACGTGAACTTCATACAAAACGTAGCAATATTATTGCGAGTAGCTTCCGCTCTTACCCTTAGCTCTTATCTGCATGTTAACTGTATCTGTATGCATGTTAACATGGAAAATATTTTTGTTGCTGTTGTTGAGTTACATTCGGGGCTACAGTCAAAACATGACCTGGCGACGCCGTTGCCTCCTCCTCTGCCTGTCAGCGGCCACAGCTCTCCTTTACTCCTTCAAGTGCCTGTGCCTGCTCTGTGCAGGGTACTACAGCTGAGTCATTCTATGAAACGGGTGCCATTTGGGTCCGCAACGTTTGATGAGATGTATAAGTTACAAAAATATCCCAAAGTGTGTTTCCAAAGCTTAAAGCTATTAATTAAATTGTTCTTGTTAGCATGATAGACCTGGTCTTTTATGAAAAGCGCTGAGAGATAATTGTTGTTGTGATTTGGCGCTTTATAAATAAAATTGAATTGAATTGAATGATATTTAATAAAAATACTATTTCTAAAGAATAACATACTATTACTATTTTTTTCAAACCATGATTATTTTCAGGATTATATTTGTGTCCCTGTTTATTCAAGAAAACATTAGTTTTTGTAAATATTTTATTATTTTTGTTCGACGCTCAGTTTGACTTACCACCCCGTCATACTAACTTGTTCTGGCCCAAAAAATCTTGCTTTAAATGACATCACAAAGAGGAAGTGACATCATTTGAGCTTTTGGTGCTGCCTAGAACAAGGGCAGGCATGTACTGAGATTGATTTACATTGTTTATTTGTTAATTTTTTATGTTAGACAGGGTCTGTCAAGCTCAAACCAACCACCCTGTCATGCAAAATAGATTGGGAAAACTGATTTTTATTCAAATTTTTACACTATTAATGCAAAGAAAATGATATTTCACATTGAATACATGTATGCTAGGTCAGGAATTTAACCACATAGAGAACTGCAGCCATTTTAGAAATTTACCACCACGTCACAATAAAACTTGGTGGTAAGGGATGTGACCGGGTGGTTCTCCTTCCTGTTGTAATGATTGTTACAATTGATTAAATGGAACCTACATGTGCATCTCAAAATATTAGAATATTAAAATAAAGAATTTATAATACAGAAATGTCAACCTTTTGAAAAGTTCTGAAAAATGTTTTATGCACTCAGTACTTGGTCTGAGGTCCTTTTGCATGAAATACTGCATCAATGCGACATGACATGAAGGCAATCAGCCCATGGCACTGCTGAGGTGTTATAGAAGCCCAGGTAGCTTTGATAGTGGCATGAGTCATTCTATGAAAGGGGTGCCATTTTTTATCCAAATTTTTTCCAAATTCCATTTTCCAAATTTTCATCCAGAGCAAACTTTTTTTTACTTACAATTTATAAAGATATGTTAAACCCCTCAGAAAACATATTTTCCCACCTCATGCACAAAATCCTTTTCTTCCTATCCTTTTTATTGAGACATGGGAGCCATTCTTGTACCACCTCGTCACGGATAATATGTACACCCTTTGAGTAGTAATACAAGAAATACATTTTAAAAATGTACTAGTAAAATGTCCTTTTGTTAGAAACCATCAATATAAAATATGTAATTTAATAATTTTTTATTATTCTTAGATTTTCAATCTTGAAATATGAATTCAACATATCAGTGGCCTCATTGTTCGTACAAAAAATTCTAATTCACTTAAAAATGTCTAATAAAAGTTACATTTATTTGATTAGTCCACAAAACAAGAATTTTATTCAATATTCATTTATGGAAAATTTCACTTCCTTTCAATTATTTTTTAACAATATGACCCTGTGATGGGGTGGTTCATGGGTAACAGGGTGGTACAGACAATCTGTGTCTCTATATGATCGGTTTGCTTTAGCCTTCATCTAAAATTAGAAACTTTTGTTAATTTTTGATATCAATGTAGGTGTGACTTAATGATAGGCATACAAGATCAATATCAATGTGTGTGTATATATATATATGATCAGAAATAGGTTTCACTAATACAAAAGCCAATAATACATAAACAATGGTTAAAAAAATTATTTGAACTTTTTGAAAACTTTAAAAACTAGGGGAGAGTATACATTAAAATTGGAAATGTAATCTAGAATTTACATAAAAAAACGAAGTTGCTGTTGTTGTGGAAATGCCAAAGTCTGCTGATATTACAGATTTAAAAAATACGAAACTTTGACATATTCTAGATTAATTACACATAAATCTTTATGGAGATGCTGATTTCATTTTCCAGCAGGACGTGGCATCTGCCTACAGGGTCAAAACCATTAGGTTTGCTGACCATGGTATTACTGTGCTTGAATGGCCACACCAACTCGCCTGACCTGAACCCCATATGATGTATTGTCAAGAGGCAGCCCGGTGGCAAACATATTGGTTGTTTTTGGGCATTTGGCGGCCTCCCCACAGCGCCACGCATCTTTTTAAATTCTTCCCTCTAACGGGGTAAAGAAATGTCAGATCGCAACCACAGCCGCAACTGTTCTGACCCGTAATAGTAGCAAAATGGCTAGATATAATTATATAAGACAAACATGCTGCAGCTATTAATGATTCAGCAGTCAGAATAACAGTCTGCATAGTTTGGCACACTGACCTATACGGAGAGGAACAGGTAAATAAAAAAAAAGTCAGACAGGAAGAAAATAAAACCTTGGGGGTCTATTAGGAACAGTGGTGGACAAAGTACTCAGATTACTTAAGTAAAAGTACTAATACCTCACTGTACAAATACTCTGTTACAAGTAAAAGTACTGATTTGAAAAGGTTACTGTACATATGTGTAAATATAATAAGGAAAATGTAGGCTACTCACTGCAGAATGAAAAATGTCCCCTGTGATTGTTCTACTATTATGTATTATATCAGTAGGTTATTACTCATGCATTAATGTGAAAGCAGGATTTTACTGTTGGTATTGGTTAAAGATGAACTATTTTGTATCAAATAACAATTAATGATTTTCACTGTGGATTAGGTAGGCCTACGTTTCTACTCTAGAAAAAATTAAGTTGAAGACTTCTACTTTTAGTGGAGCAATATTTAGAAAATATATCTGTACTTTTATTCAAGTACAGGATTTTTGTTACTGCTGACAATAAACACAAGTGAATAAAATGTCATCAGTTGAAAGCGGAACGAAAAGCTACCGCACTTCTGCTGTCGGAACTTAATAATGTGACATCCGGCGGAAGTAAACAATACAAGCTCCAGCGTTTGCAGCGTCTTTTTATTTTGACTTTCGCTAGAATGAGTTATTGTAGTCGTAACTCCGCTAATTATTTCATTTGTAATTAATCAACAATGTCTTCAGTTGGGAGTTTGAGAGAGTTTGTCAACGAGCGACTAACTGCTGCTGCTGAAGAAATATTCAGAGTTTTTAAAAACACTATCGTCGAGTACGAGAAAGAGATCGATCGTCAGCGCAGACTGCTGGATATCGCTTGGAAACCCGAAGTAAAGTTACACAGGATAGGTGAGGAAAGATTCATTATATAAGTAACTCAAAACAAAGGAAATAGACTGATATAAAATTAAAAGTGTTTTAAATACAATATACTTGGACTCCTTTTCCCGCGTCTCTGCATTTATTTCTTTCCCATCACAGTAGTAAGGTTAGCCTGTTCCTTTTTCTCTCTGTCCCTCCAGAGCTCCCACAGCAACATGTCTGTAAGGAGGAGGAGGTTCTGGCTGACCAGCAGCTCTGGATTCAGGAGAGGATCCCCGGTCTGGACCAGGAGGACCCACAGCCTCCACAGGTTAAAGAGGAACAGGAGGAACTCTGTACTAGTCAGGAGGGAGAGCAGCTTGTAGTGAAGCAGGAGACTGACACCTTTATGTTGACTCCTACTTATGAGGAAAGTGACCACAGTGAAGCAGAACTGAAAAGTGACCACCAGCTCCTCTCTCACAACTGTCATGTATCTGAGAGCCAAGATCAGAAAGGAGGCGAGCATGAAGACTCAGGATCAACTAGAGATGCAGAGCCAAAACAAAAGAATCAAGATCACAACAGCAGAAGCCCCAGAAACAATGTACACAAGTCTACCATGTCAGAGGTTCATCATGATCCTCACACAGGTAAAAAGTCTTTCACATGTGACACATGTGGAAAAGATTTTCAGTCCAAGTCAGATTTTCAGAAACACCTGAGAATTCACACAGGTGAGAAGCAATTTTCTTGCAAAACATGTTTAAAAGACTTCAAAACTAGCAGTGCATTGATACGCCATATAAGAACCCACACAGGTGAGAAACCATATTCTTGCGAAACATGTGGGAAAGACTTCAGAACCAGCGATCACTTGCAACACCATACAAGAACCCACACAGGTGAGAAGCCGTATTCTTGCAATACATGCAGAAAATCTTTTAGCCAAAGGAGTAACATGATAGCCCATGTGAGAACCCACACAGGTGAGAAGCCGTATTCTTGTGAAATATGTGGTAAAGACTTCAGAACCAGCGAACACTTGCATGTTCATAAAAGGTCCCACACAGGTGAGAAGCCATACCTTTGCAAAATCTGTGGGAAAAGATTCCGTGACACTAAAACATTTATAAGTCATACGAGAACCCACACGGGTGAAAAGCCGTATTCTTGCAAAACATGTAGAAAATCTTTTAGCCAAAGGAGTAACATGATAGCTCATGTGAGAACCCACACAGGCGAAAAGCCGTATTCTTGTGAAACATGTGGGAAAGCCTTCAGAATCAGCAATCACTTGCAACTTCATATAAGAACCCACACAGGAGAGAAGCCGTATGCTTGTGAAACATGTGGGAAAGCCTTCAGAACCAGCAATCACTTGCAACTCCATATAAGAACCCACACAGGTGAGAAGCCGTATGCTTGTGAAACATGTGGGAAAGCTTTCAGAACCAGCAATCAGTTGCAACTCCATGTAAGAACCCACACAGGTGAGAAACCATATTCTTGTGAAAAATGTGGGAAGGCTTTCAGAGCAAGTCGTCAATTGAAAACCCACATAACAAGAGAACACAAAGGTGAGAAGCTGTAGCTTTGCACGATGAAAAGATGTGTTGTTGCGTCTGATTTGACACAGAACAGAAGGCAGCATACAGACAAGTAATCTCGTGGGAAAAGATTCAGTTCTAGAGGTTTGTGGTCAAAACACAGAAGAACTCATAGAAGTGAAGAACTGCATCAGTGCAGCACTTGTGCTAAAAGTTCCGACCCCTGGACCCCCCTGCAGTTCGTCTACAGAGCCAACAGGTCTGTCGACGATGCAGTAAACTTGGCCCTTCACTACACCTCCAGCACCTGGACTCCTCAGGAACCTACGCCAGGATCCTGTTTGTGGATTTCAGCTCTGCTTTCATTACCATCATCCGAACTGCTGCAGGTCAAGCTCTCCCAGCTTAGCGTGCCTGGCTCTACCTGCATGGTGGTTCACAGACTTCCTGTCTGACAGGAAGCAGCACGTGAAGCTGGGAAAACATATCTCTATCTTCTGGACTTCTTCCCCCATCACCCTGTTTGACTGTGGAGTCCTTCTGCTTCCTGGGCACCATCATCTCCCACGATGGAGATGAAGCCCAGCAGAGGATGTACTTCCTGCGGCAGCTGAAGAGGTTCAGCTTGAAAAAGACAATGATGGTGCACTTCTACACCGCCATCATTGAGACCATCCTCACCTCCATCACCATCTGCCACTGCCACAGTGACACCTAATGGTCACTTTTGATATTGACACATCTTGGGAGGGGTTTCATTGAAACAATGACTGACCCGCGTTTACAATTCTAAACGTCTTATCAATACATGACCAACAGGATTTGGGAGAAATCAACATACAAACAAACACTTTCAGATTGTCAGAGACAGCAGATGGGGATCGCAATAAAAGTGTGTTTAAATAAAACACATCTGTGTGTTTCATTTAGCCGACGCTTTTCTCAAAAGCAAATCACAATTTCTATTCAGCTGTTTTGGGGCTGAGTCTGTTTTTCTTTTCATAATTGACATCCCCAGCCTTGGAAAAATTTGGTCACATCATGGAACATTTGTTGCTGGCAAAGATAAGTATTTTTTTTGCCATCATAGGCCTACAGGTGCGGATATACTACAGCATGTTGCTACTGCTAATAAATCAACGGATCGTGTCATCATATTTAAGCCTTCTGAGAGTTAGAGGCTGATGTGTGGTTTGTTCCAAACACTGAATCAAGCGTAGAAGCGGCCGGTGCGCCACCAGTCGAAACGGGTGAAACTAAACCCATTAAACTACCCAACTGTTTCTACAAGCAGGAATTGACTAATTAGTTGATTGAAAGAAATATAATTTGATATTATTTTGATTGTCGTTTTTAAATTCTCATTGTCATGTCAGCAACCCCTGACAAGTTTTGAATAAAATGTCAGTTGAAAGCGGGTCAGTGATTTTGAAGATCAACAAATTCCCTGGGACGAATGGGCTCACAACCAATTTGTTCTTTTGGAATGATGTAAGAAATATTTTATTCCAAGCACTGAGAGTGAAGATAGAGAAGATATAACTGATGTCAAGCATGAAACAAGGTTTAATCACACTGATTCCTAAAGCTGGCAAAGATAAAAGAATATAAGATAATTTGAGACCAATTGCACTGCTTAACTTCGTATATACCACATAACCAGGTCTGGACCAGGACAAAAAAATCGGCTCTGGCATTTTTGGCCCAAAAAAATCGGTCGGACCAATACACCATCCTTCTGTATAACGTGAACCTATTGTAATATTCCCCCAAACCAGCTGAGTGGTTTGTGCCGTGCATAATTAATTCACACTCATTTATTGACTCCATGGTGATCAGAGGTGGCCATGGAGTACACAACTCATACTTAAGTACAAGTAGCCTACAAGTAATTTTCACCGCAGCGTGCCACCGCATCGCTGAAAAAAATAACCTTACCTCAGCCATTAGGACAGTTAGCTATGCTAGCTACAAAAACAATGTCAAATAGCTTATGCATGTATGACAGTGAGTGATCACCAGCAGTAGGTTACAGTCTCATTTTATGATAGCGTTATTATTATGTTATAATCATTAACCTAAATTGAACTAATCATCATCATTGTCACTACAGCATGGCACACACCCTACCCAAGGGCCTCACTTTGTGTTGAAAAGTGGTGGGGACATTTAAGGGCTCAGATTTGGGGTGTGACTAAGAAATATTCTGTACCAATTTATGCTGGAAATGCCTTTATTTATATAAAAGGAAACACAAAATCCAGCTGGCAGGTGACAGTTAAAATTTATAAATAAAATGCAGTAATTAGTGGCTTTTTCTTTTAGCTTAAGTTAATTTTTTTGGACAATGCACATGTTTCTTCTATGTTTACATGCATGTTTGCATTGCATGTTTTCTTATTGTGCAAATAAACCTTCCTTAAAGCATTTTCAGTTATTTAACATTTTTCATTGCAAGCAACATTTTTATTTATTCATTTAACAAATACTTTCAATAAGTGCAGGCTATATATATACAATAGGTGTTGGCAGAGAGGCATGTAAATTTTGTGTGAAAATGTTGTACTTGTTTAGTCAATATGGATAATAGATAAAAAGTCAGTGATGTGGTGCTCATAGAAAATACTGTATCATATTTGTAACTTGACCCTGAGGCTGTAGTCCCACAGTCTGACAGCCAGTCTGGCAATCTAGTAAGTATTACCTGAAGGACATCCACAGGTGCACAGTTCCTGCTGTGCTAATTGATGAGTGTTTTACAAACTTTTAGATGTCTGAACTGCACACACTTGAAAAAATTAACAAAATAAAATATCAGCAAAACCCCGGCAGGACTTGGATTTAGATATGGAGATAAAAAGAGGTACTGAGGAAACTGACTTAAAAATCCAGCAACTAGAAAGAGAAGTGATCATTGCACACTGTAACACTAATGTTTTAATCATTGTTGATCCCAGGGAGAGAAAGAAACTGGTCAAAAAACCTTGTGGTATCCTCTCCCTGTTGTTTCGTGAATAAACAGTGCGCAATATAGGCTCAATTGAAGTGGGACTATAATTTGGGAGTATTATACAATTATGAAACCTATTAAATGTATATAGATCTATATATATATCCAGTGTTGGGCAGTAGCATCGCTACAAGTAGCGCTGTTACTAGTTTTGTCATGCCAAGGTAGTTATCCCCGATAGAAAGTGTTTCCCCTGCCCCGGGAAGCTAGCACACGGCTTATATAACGTTAAAGGTTCAGTGTGCAAGTTCTAGTGACAGCTAGTGGTAAGGGTTGCGAATTGCACCCCCCCTTCCCTACCCAAGCGAGCAGTATAGCTACGGTGCCTGAGACAGGACACAGATAATCGTCTATGAGATAAAAGAGATTGCCATTCAAGAAATTAGGTTTCTTTAGATAGATGTGTTAAGAAATTATATAAATTATGTAAAACCATATGTTTTTTTGAATGTTATTGTTACTTTTTCATGAATAAACAACAGCCACATGAAGAAATTAAGTGCTACATGATGTCTCAATAATACATTATTTTACAACATACCAGAGAAAATGAAGAAGATCTCAAAAATTATTACATCTAGTGCATCCTCTCAATTTCTTAATTAGATAAGCAATCTGCAACTATTACCAAAATGTCTTTTGAATTTTTTGAAATACAACAGAAACACAAAGTAGTACTGACAGCCATAATTTGTGGTAAACGTTTTAATGGGCATTTAGCATGTGAAAGTACAAATTACATACAGTATTTGTGTGCACAGTGGGACGCAATATCCAATAACTTTTTAATGCAAATTCGTAAAGTATTCATTATTGGTCACTTGATAGGCACACGGTCTTGTTATATATCACCATTAGCAGTAAACTGAAATGCATGTTATCCACCAGGGCAGTAAAATGTGAAGTTTAGCTGCTGATCTGAGCTTCTCTGCTGTTACCGTTTCATTACCAATAATATTCATCAGCTGTTTGTCTCAGGAAGGTAACGGCACACATAATTCCTGTCCACATAACAAAGCCATAACGGAGCGCTGGAAGAACTACATGAAGTTACAATCCAACTACATATTTTTTCAAAGTTCAGCTGGTTGATCTGAGCTTCGATGCTGGAAGCTCACATTTTATTGCAATCAGCGATTAGCTGATTCTCACGAACGTAACATACAAAGCCAAAAACAGAGCGCTGGAGAGATAGAGATAACTACAGGAAATTAGTCCAACTAACATAACACCACAAGCCAAAGCACAGCGCTGGAGAATAAACCAATCCAACTAACAATAAATTTTTTTCTACCAGTCAGTAAAAGTGTAGCTGGCTGATGCTTCCATGCTCTAAGCTAACGTTACAGTTTTATTGCCAATTAACGTTACTGATCAGCTGATTGTCTCGCTAAGTAACCGGCAAAGCCAAACCACAGGCTGGGGAATAAGTAGGCGCCATGAAATTAATCCATATTTCATACCACTGACAGGGGAAACATGGCTCTCTGTGATTATGGCCAGCTAATAGCTAAAGCTCTCAACCAACAGTTTTCATTTGCATCGCTAAAGTCTGACAAACAAAGTTAATTACCTGCCCAGCAGAAAACAGACAACTTCAGCACCACATTGAAAACATCTGTCCCACATTAACGTTATAGCCTTCCATCTGGGAAAATCCACAAAATCCGTGATTTCTGCCGTTAGCTGTCTGTCCCAACTCCGTCTGGCTGTCCGCTCTTGTGCTAAATAACACGTGTGTGCTCCTTCATTTGTCCAATGTCACTTCTCTTTTTACTTCTAATAAACCTGAAGACTTTGTACATATTCAATGTAGTGACGGGCGTCTACACTACCGGAATTACACAAGCAGAAGAAGAACGGCGTGATGACAAAACGCGCTCTGTAGTGCTGTTTGTTCGTTGTCGGCTACGGTAGAAACATGACGACAAAATACAGCGACCTCCACAGCAGGGTGCCCGCGGTTATGTAGATATAAATGTCTCATTCTAAGGTAATAAAAACTTATTGGTTCATTATGTAAGGTCTTAATACACCACTGAAAACCTAGTTATGGATCTCAGATTGGATTTCTGTTAATAGAGCCTCAGAAATATTACCCACTGGACTTTTTAACGCTTTTACAGGCTAACGTTACATTTTATCGAACTTCGTATGGTTCAATGCACTGAATTGAGAATGTCTACACAAGACGAGCAATTAGTTTCACTCGTAAAGCAAACATTTATTTTGCGATAGCCTGAAAATGTTACTGTTCTCCATGTTACTGTTTAGAAGCTAGATTCAGACAAGCTGTCACCTTTTTCAAGTAAGCTGCTCCTACATACGCCACCGATACTGTAAAAGCAGCATCACTGTAATCAGTTGAATGCATCCCAGCAAGCAATTTCACGGTTAAAAGACATCCAGTAGACGTCTAAACCAGGGCTGAATTTGGGCTGTCAGTGAATGTTTGGTAGATAAGCACACAAGCACAAGCGTTTCACGTTATATAAGCCGTGTGCTAGCTTCCTCTGCAAAAACCTTGTTGATAAATTAATGCTAAAACGATATATTAATCAATACACGTTATATTTTTCATTCACTTTGATGAAGTCGAGGGTCCGCCTTCACCACTGAATGCACGCGCGCTCCCGTGGCAGGGGAAACACTAACTACCTTGGCACAACACCTCTAGTGAGGAGGAATCCTTGATATGTAGTGGCAGAAACTTGTTTCCATGAGATGAGATGAGAGATTTCTCTCTCTCTCTCTCCCTCTCTCTCTATTTCTCTCAGGCCTATTGCCATGAATGTTTAAGTTTTTGCAATGACCTATAAAATATTTAAAATTATTTTAAAATGAACTTTTGCCATGTTGCTGTAGCTTAGCTTGCTGCATTTCATTGGGGGGTAGCTTCTATGTAGTGAAGCTTCATTTAATGTCGAGTAGCTAATAGCTTAGCTCACTACATTTTCCAAGTAGCTTTCCCAACACTGTATCTACTATATAGCGCAGTTTTTGATTGACCTATAACGTCTGGTGCTCGCTTTGAAGCACAATATAACATTGTAATTATGACAGTTTCGGTTAAAAGCAGAGATATTTTTAGCCTCTCACATATTCAGTCAGTCCACTATTGGTTGCCACACTTTCTTTCACTTTACTGTGCCCGTGTTACTTAATCTTTTATTTATTATTTTTCTTTACATGTATGCTTTTATTCCACGTAAACCTACTCGCTGATGTTCATTGTATGGTGCATGCATCTTCTTCTCCAATTAGGAAGCCTACTAACCACAAACTGCTATTTTAATGAAGGCTAATGAAAAATATGCAAAACACATACATAAGTACATGGAATAACTGAAAAAAACACATTGGTTTTTGTTCGGCGTGACTGCTGACTGAACAGATAAGGCACAAGGATTAATTAAGCCTGGCTGACAGCCTGGTCTGGAGCAGGCTAGCTACACAGTATAAATCGCCATGGTAATTTATATGCTACTGCTTTCATGAAACAGAGTTAAGGCTTAATTCAGCAAGGATATCTGGAAAATCCCAGCTTATATCTGGAAATCATGCCCTAAATATATTTATTTAAGGAATTAAAAGTGTATATAAAATCCCCAAAAAGAACTAAAAGAACAAAAATTACATAATATGCTCAAACACTTTCCCAGTGAAGTAACTAGCTGAACGAAGACTGAATTCTCCCCATATAATGTCTTGCCACTAACTGATTTTATTCAAGTCATCTTTATTCTTTTTACGACTGTATCTTTTATTAAAAGCTGTTCCTTCGAGCTATATCTTCTCTATATCCTTATACTAAAGAAATTGATTATATGCACCCATGTTAACAGTGGTTAACACTGTCGCCTCACAGCAAGAAGGTCATTGGTTCGAACCCTGGTCGTCCTGGCCTTTCTGTGTGAGTTTGCATGTTCTCAGGACTGGCGACCTGTCCAGGGTGTACCCCGCCTTTCGCCCGATGTCAACTGGGATAGGCTCCAGCCCCCCGCAACCCTGTACGCAGGATAAGCGGTTGCAGATGGATGGATGGATGGATATTCTAGGGAAAAAAGACAAGCATAACCATAGTACTTTTTACTTTTGATACTGAAGTATCAAAGCTGGTTCATTTGTACTCCAGTGAAATTTAAGTTGAAGACTTCTACTAATATTGAGTAATAGTGCAAATTTATCTGTACTTTTACTCAAGTACAGGATTTGTGTACTTAGTCCACCACTGCTGATAATAAACACAAGTTTTGAATAAAATGTCATCAGTTGAAAGCGGAACGAAAAGCTCCCGCACTACCGCTGTGGGAACTTAATCAGTGTGACATCCGGCGGAAGTAAACAAAACAATAGCCAGCGAAAGCTACATCTTTTGAATTCGCTGGAAGGAGTTCTTGTAGTCGTAGCGGTGCTAATTATTTTATTTGTAAGTAAACAACAATGTCTTCAGTTGAGAGTTTGAGAGAGTTTGTCAACGAGCGACTAACTGCTGCTGCTGAAGAAATATTCAGAGTTTTTAAAAACACTATCGTCGAGTACGAGGAAGAGATCGATCGTCAGCGCAGACTGCTGGATATCGTTTGGAAACCCGAAGTAAAGTTACACAGGATAGGTGAGGAAAGTTTTTATATTTTAGTAACACAAAACGGAGACAGTCCATTCATATAAAATCCAAAGTGTTTCTTATTGTTTAATATACTTGTTGTGTAACGTTACCTAACTTAATACAGAATTAGATGGTACATCCTGAATTTATTCACCACATGGTGCTTCTGCATTTACTTGCTTTATTGCCCGAACCCGAACACAGGTTGTTACAGCCACGCCTTCCCGCCGTCTCCCCCATTACGTCCTGTTTCACTACACACATGACGTCTCTAATCCAATACATGACATCCCTCCTTTTCTTGGAAATAAACACATCCACTTAAACATATAAGAATAAGTGGCTATTAACTATTTGTTTCCTTTCTATAACGCCTATTATCTTTGGCTTAGCAACTGCCTTTCCACCTGTCTCTTCAACCATATACAACACAACACAAATCACTTCAACATAAAATCACAAAGTCTGTCAGGTGCCCTTTTGAGCCACTGAGTTCTGGCTATTGGCATGTCTGATGTTCCCACATTCTGGGGTGGTGTCTGAATGTGTTTCTGTATGTAGTACACTTTCCTCAGCTCCTGTTATTTTCTCCTGTGTACTGTGCATTTGGCTTTGTTAGTCTCATATCTTTCAAATGTGTGGTGATTATCTTGTAACGTGCTCCCCTTGCAGATTTGACCACAACCTGATTTCAATTCAACTCAACTTTATTTATAGAGCACTTTCAACACCACAAGTGGAACCAGAGTGCTGTTCAGAAGGTATAAAAGAGAAAATAAAAACAGAGACAAAAAACACAGCAAACATATAACATACACAAATTACAAAGCATTATCAAATGCTAAAGAAAACAAATAAGTTTTCAGATACACCCAGATACAACACATTACAATAATCCAAACGGGATGACACAAAGGCATGAACAACCTTCTCCATATCGTCAAAAGAAAGGATAGATTTCAATTTAGATATTGATCTAAGATGGAAGAAACTATTCTTAGCGACAGCATTGATTTGCATTGATTTGTCCAATTTAAGCTCAGAGTCAAAAATGACACCAATGTTCCTTACGCTAGACAGTTTTTTCCCAGAACACAACTCCAGGCAGTCATCATCCACACACCCCTTATTTCCAAATAAAATCATCTCGGTCTTATCCTCATTTAATTGGAGAAAGTTATTCGCAAGCCAACACTTAACTTCAGCCAAACATGAATGAAGAGACTGAATGGCACATTTATGCCCATGTTTCAATGGTAAGTAAATTTGAGAATCATCCGCATACAAATGATACAGAATCCTAATTTTCTCAAAAACTGAACCTAGAGGGAGCATATAAAGGGAAAATAAAATTGGTCCCCACACACGAGGGGTAATGGAAGAAAAATGATCTGATCTTAAACTGACTGAAAAAGTCCTATCCTTAAAATAGGAAGAGAAACATTTCAGGGCTAAGCCCTAAATACCAACCTGATCCCTAAGACGATCAATAAGAATGTTGTGATCAACTGTATCAAATGCCGCTGTAAGATCTAACAAAAGCAAAACAACATGGTTTCCAGAATCAACACCTCGTAGAATATCATTAGAGACCCTCAAAAGAGCAGATTCTGTACTATGACCAGCTCTAAAACCTGATTGGAATCTATCGGAAATGTTATTCCTCATTAAGAAGTCATTAAGCTGTGCATTTACAATTTTTTCCAATATCTTAGAAATAAAAGGTAATTTTGAGATCAGACGAAACCTACTCATGTCAGAGGTGTCTAAACCATTTTTTAAAAAAGGGGCTGAATAACCGCATGCTTAAAACTAACCGGAACAACACCAGATGACAAGCTAATATTCATAATAGACAGAATACTTGGGCCAATTGAATCAAGCACCTTCTTAAACAGAGAAGACGGGAGCACATCACCAGGAGACCTGGTGGGCTTCATATGAGCAGTCATATCATTAAGCTGCTGCAAAGAAACAGGCAGAAAACTAGTTAATTTGTTCGTAGGGTCAACAGAAGGAATAAAATCAGTGACAACAGATGAAATCTGAGATCTAATTCCATCAACCTTACCAATAAAAAAGTTTTAGAACTCTTCACATGTCAGCAGAAGGAGTGAATGAAAGAGTAGCTGTAGGATGAAGAATGGCATTTACAGTAGAGAAAAGTACTCTAGAATTATTACAGTTTCTGGAAATGATGACAGAGAAATAATTTGATCTAGCCAATTTAATAGCTCTTTGATACTCGTTCAAACGGTTCTTCCTCCATGGGCCACAGTCCGGACCAAACAGACAAAATTTGGTCCGACAAAAAGAGGTGGTCTCTGTTCAGACTTTCAGACTATTTAGGCCTACAGGAAGTTTGGCAGTTGACGTGTAAACCGGAAACAAACAAATGCACGGATAAATACATTGAAATAAGGACACAATTATAAATCTCCAGAGATGCACACTGCCACATCTTTGGTTTCTCCTCGTACGGAGGTGCGGAGGGATTGCTTGCTGTCTTCTCCTCCTTTCCTGTCGGCGACGTTATAATGTTTGTGCAATGAGTATGTTTAATTGCGAATTTGAATTAGCCGTAGTAATGCCATAAAAATAATTTGGCAAATCTGCATATGTTTATTTTTTATTCATTCATTCTTGTCAAAGATACCTGCTGAACTTTTTAATAAACCAATCAATGCCAAGTATAGGGAGACGCAGCCCACATAGATGATGATGACAGGATGCAAGTGTGTCATGTAAAGTCCTTTAGTGCGGTCGCAGAATTGCAGTGTGAAACCAAACCAAAACTAACCCAATGTATCAAAACATGAACTCGGTTCCGGACCTTGGTGTGGACTTTCAGATGTTGAAAGCCCCCTCAGAGGGAGATTTTGTACTTTTTACTTCACTACATTTGTCTGACAGCTGTAGTTACTTTACAAAGTAAGATTTTTATACACAAAACACATGGAGAATGATAAAAATATGTTTTGTAATGAATTAAACTACACAACTGTTTCTACAAGTTTGTATTGTTTGTTGAAAACAAGGACTTGGATTTTGATCTCACTGTTGTGATGCTATTGGGGAAATAGCCCTACTTTATTATGTTATCATTACATGATGCATAGGTGTCATTTACACTGGGGACGCTGGGGACATGTCCCCACCACATTTTGAAAACATTCACCAAAGCCCACCAACAAACTATATGAGAACATGCAATGCAATTTCAAAATAGAAGAAACAAATGTGCAAAAAAAAGTAACTTAAGATACAAAACAAACAAGTTGCTGATCACTGCATTACATTCTGTTATATTTTTATATTTATGAATTGTCACCTGCTAGCTGAATTATTTGTTTCCCTTTACATAAAAAAGAGACATTTCCACAATAAAGAAAATGTCTCCAGAATGCAGGAAATTGAGTGTTTAATGCTCCAATTAATCCAATCCACACCCTGCTCATATATTTCAACATTTCGTATTTCTTCAAAATAGTGTTAATAATATTTCCTCACGTGTCTGCATTCTTTCTTTGCCATCACAGTAGTAACGTTAGCCTGTTCCTTTTGTTCTCCGTCCCTCCAGAGCTCCCACAGCAACATGTCTGTAAGGACGAGGAGGTTCTGGCTGACCAGCAGCTCTGGATTCAGGAGAGGATCCCCGGTCTGGACCAGGAGGACCCACAGCCTCCACAGGTTAAAGAGGAACAGGAGGAACTCTGTACCAGTCAGGAGGGAGAGCAGCTTGTAGTGAAGCAGGAGACTGACACCTTTATGTTGACTCCTACTTATGAGGAAAGTGACCACAGTGAAGCAGAACTGAAAAGTGACCACCAGTTCCTCTCTCACAACTGTCATGTAGCTGAGAGCCAAGATCAGAAAGGAGGCGAGCGTGAAGACTCAGGATCAACTAGAGATGTAGAGCCAAAACAAAAGAATCAAGATCATAACAGCAGAAGCCCCAGAAACAATGTACACAAGTCTACCATGTCAGAGGTTCACCATGATCCTCACACAGGTAAAAACTCTTTCACATGTGACACATGTGGAAAAGAGTTTAAGTTCAAGTCAGTATTTCAGAAACACCTGAGAATCCACACAGGTGAGAAGCCGTATTCTTGCAAAACATGTGGGAAAGGCTTCAGAACGAGCGAACACTTGCATGTTCATGTAAGATCCCACACAGGTGAGAAGCCGTATCTTTGCAAAACCTGTGGGAAAGGATTCTCTGACACTTCAACACTTACAATACATACAAGAACGCACACAGGTGAGAAGCCGTATTCTTGCAAAACATGTAGAAAATCTTTTAGCCAGAGGCATAGCTTGATAGCCCATGTGAGAACCCACACAGGTGAAAAGTCGTATTCTTGTGAAACATGTGGGAAAGCCTTCAGAACCAGCGATCACTTGCAACTTCATATAAGAACCCACACAGGAGAGAAGCCATATTCTTGTGAGACCTGTAGAAAATCTTTTAGCCAGAGGAGTAACTTGATGGCCCATCTGAGAACCCACACAGGTGAGAAGCCGTATTCTTGCAAAACATGTAGAAAATCTTTTAGCCAGAGGCATAGCTTGATAGCCCATGTGAGAACCCACACAGGTGAAAAGTCGTATTCCTGTGAAACATGTGGGAAAGACTTCAGAACCAGCCATCACTTGCAACTTCATATAAGAACCCACACAGGTGAGAAGCCGTATGCTTGTGAAACATGTGGGAAAGACTTCAGAATCAGCCATCACTTGCAACTCCATCTAAGAACCCACACAGGGGAGAAGCCATTTTTTTGTGAAACATGGGAAAGCTTCCAGAGTAAGTAGATAATTAAAAATCCACATAAGAAGAGAACACACAGGTGAGAAGCTGTAGCTTTGCATGACGAAAAGATGATGCGTCTGATTTGACACGGGACAGAAGGCAGCATAAAGACAAGTAGTCTTGTGGAAGATGATTCAGTTCTAGAGGTTTGTGGTCAAAACTCAAGAAGTCCCTGAAGTGAAGAGCTGGCAAAGTGCAGCACTAAAAGTTTTACTGAAATCACATACTTGAAAACACCTGAGGATCAATATACCTCTGGTGATGAAGTCTTTTGAGCGCCATGTGTTGAGCCACCTCAAGTCCACTACAGACCCACTCCTTGACCCCCCTGCAGTTCGTCTACAGAGCCAACAGGTCTGTGGATGATGCAGTAAATATGTACCTTCACTACACCTCCAGCACCTGGACACTTCAGGAACCTACACCAGGATCCTGTTTGTGGATTTCACCTTTGCTTTCATCACCATCATCCCTACTCTGCTGCAGGTCAAGCTCTCCCAGTTTAGCGTGTCTGACTCCACCTGCCGAGTAGATCACAGACTTCCTGTCTGACAGGAAGCAGCACGTGAACTGGGGAAACATGTCTCTGACTCCTGAGGTCATTCTCATTTCCCAAATTTCTGCTTCCTTGATCATGAATCCTTGAGCCTGTGACCCAGAAATCGATCTCAGTGCGCCATCTTGAAGGACATCTCAATTCCTAAAATGCACATCGAGGCTCGAGGAGGCTTGTTGGAGGGGCTATAAGCGAGGATACATCAGTGTATCCTTTGCAGAAGTCTTTTCAGCCACTGTGACGTTTAGAAGACGCGTGACATGCAGCTGGACCAACACATGGCTGGAGCAGGACCCTGCAGTGTCTATGTTGTATTCATAAGTTGGATTAGGTAAGCCTATTAAAAATAATCAAATGCGCAATCTCCCCTTAATGTCAGTTCACTTTGATATTTCTGATGTTATTGTTGAATGTGATGTGTGAATGGGCAGCAGGATAATAAAAATGAACACTGAATAGCGGCTGGATGAATCGCCTCTCCAGAGATGTTGTGCGCATTTACGCGCGAGCAACAGCAACATAAATTCATATTTAAATCACCTGACGCGCCAACAGGGTCGATCAAGCTCTAATATTAATTCATGTTTTCTGTTCTTCTACACATCCAAAGGTCTCACACATTTCAGTTTGAACCAGAGCATTCAGCACTGATCTGCTGTGTTTCATGTTTTAATAAAAGTGCCCATGTAGTCTGCACATGTCATTCCAACAGTAGAGTCCTGTGATGACAGTTTTAATCGGGGCTCTATGAGATAAATGTTACTGTGTCACTTTGTAAAGGGACTGATGATGAAACGCTCATCTCATGAAGCTGAGGGCTGAAATGATCTCCTGTTTTCAGGCAAAAGGCGCTCCCCCCAAAAAAGTAGTACTGTGTAGCTAGTGAATGATCAGGCTGCTGTAATCTGTGACTGTTTCTTAACAGATGCTGTAATGTTTATTGGAACCTCCAGATGTTTGTACATGTTATAATGTTGACAGGCATGTTCCTGTATTGTGAAGAAATGATCTGTAGCCTTTAGTGCCAAAAGCTGGTCTGCTGCTCTGACAGATCACAGCTCTAACAGTGGACAGATGATGCAGCTGTGCAACAGGTCATATTTAACGTTGCTTTAAAATGATGGCTCCGAGGAAAGGACATCTCATTTCGTTAAATGCCTGTTTTTCCTCGAATCCTTGAGCTTGCATCTCGGGTGGGAGGGACTAAGATGCCGCAAGGAGTTGGGGAGGTAGAAAATTGGGAAATGAGAAAGGCCCCTGGACCACCATACTGCATGCTTAATGTAATGTTTCTTACTTTGAATATGTTTTGCTAGTAGTGCTTTCATACTTTTACTTATTGCACCCTGAATAACTTCTTCCACAACTGCTTTTTTGTTTTTGTGCAAAATTTCCATTGGCAAAGTAATGTCTGGGAGTCAAAGGCAATAGTTCAGGAAAGACTAATTTCCTCATGTAATGAAGCGAGGTGGATGTAGATGTACGTCCTTGCTACTGATAATCAGTGGTGGACAGTAGGTACATTTACTCAAGTACTGTTCTTGAATTAGAGGTAGGCTTTTTGTACTTTGAATATTTTCTTTTCCTTCTGCTTTCTACTTCTACTCTGCTACATCTCAGAGAGAGATATTGTATTTTTTACTTCACTACATTTGTCTGACAGCTTTACTTTACAAAGTAAGAATTTTATACACAAAACACATGAAGAATTATTAATAAAAATGTTTTGTAATGAATTAAACTACACAACCGTTTGTACAAGTAGGTGCTGAATAATTATTGGATTGACAGAAATTTTATTTGCTGTTATTTGAATCATCGTTTTTAAATTCTGTTTGTCATGTCAGCAAGCCCTGACAAGTTTTGAATAAAATGTCATCAGTTAAAAGTGGTTCAGTGATTTTTGAAGATGGCTATCAACAAATTCCCTGGAACGAGTGGGCTCGCAACCAATTTTTATTTGTTCTTTTGGAAGAGTGTAAAAAAATATATTATTTCAAGCACTGAGAGGGTATAGAGAAGAAAGAACTGATGTCAAGCATGAAACAAGGTATAATCATACTGATTCCTAAAGCTGGCAAAGATAAAAGAATATAAGATAAATTGAGACCAATTGCAATGTTTAATTCTGTAGCACATAACACACCAGTGTGGAATAACAGTTACACATTGCTTAATAGAGAATCTGTGTACATAAAGGAATGATCTAACGGGATTTGGGCTGTTGCTGATTTTAAAGGATGAGAATAGAAATTTGTTACAGCATGAGGAGTTTTGTAGCTAATTTCTACTCCAATGTTCTTTCAAATACTACAATATAAAAATATAAATATAAAATATGATAAGATGGCTGGTTGGAATGTACCTGTTTATTAAGTTGAAAGCGGAACGAAAAGCTCCCGTACTCGCGCTGTCGGAACTTCAACAGTGTGACATCCGACGGAAGTAAGCAATACAAGCGCCAGCGTTAGCGTATCTTTTAAAATCGTTAAAGTTATTGTAGTCGTGTCGTCGCTAATTATTTCACTGTAGTTCAGCAACAATGTCTTCAGTTGAGAGTTTGAGAGAGTTTGTCAACGAGCGACTAACTGCTGCTGCTGAAGAAATATTCAGAGTTTTTAAAAACACTATCGTCGAGTACGAGAAAGAGATCGATCGTCAGCGCAGACTGCTGGATATCGCTTGGAAACCCGAAGTAAAGTTACACAGGATAGGTGAGGAAAGCTTTATTATATTAGTAACACAAACGAGAGGAGATCGATTTATATATATATATATATATATATATAAATACTGGTACTCATTTCCTCACGTGTCTGCATTTCTTACTTTCCCATCACAGTAGTATGGTTAGACTGTTCCTTCTGTTCTCTGTCCCTCCAGAGCTCCCACAGCAACATGTCTGTAAGGAGGAGGAGGTTCTGGCTGACCAGCAGCTCTGGATTCAGGAGAGGATCCCCGGTCTGGACCAGGAGGACCGACAGCCTCCACAGGTTAAAGAGGAACAGGAGGAACTCTGTACCAGTCAGGAGGGAGAGCAGCTTGTAGTGAAGCAGGAGACTGACACCTTTATGTTGACTCCTACTTATGAGGAAAGTGACCACAGTGAAGCAGAACTGAAAAGTGACCACCAGCTCCTCTCTCACAACTGTCATGTAGCTGAGAGCCAAGATCAGAAAGGAGGCGAGCATGAAGACTCAGGATCAACTAGAGATGTAGAGCCAAAACTAAAGAATCAAGATCACAACAGCAGAAGTCCCAGAAACAATGTACACAAGTCTACCATGTCAGAGGTTCACCATGATCCTCACACAGGTAAAAGGTCTTTCAGATGTGACACATGTGGAAAAGAGTTTAAGTTCAAGTCAGTATTTCAGATACACCTGAGAATTCACACAGGTGAGAAGCCGTACCTTTGCAAGACCTGTGGGAAAAGATTCTCTGACAGTTCAAAATTAAAACAACATACGAGAACGCACACAGGTGAAAAGCTGTATTCTTGTGAAACATGTGGTAAAGACTTCAGTACTAGCACTTTATTGATACGCCATACAAGATCCCACACAGGTGAGAAGCCGTATTCTTGTGAAATATGTGGTAAAGGCTTCGGAACCAGCGAACACTTGCATGTTCATATAAGATCCCACACAGGTGAGAAGCCGTACCTTTGCAAAACCTGCGGGAAAAGATTCAGTGATATTTCAACATTTATAAAACATGAGAGAACCCACACAGGTGAGAAGCCATATTCCTGCAAAACATGTGGAAAATCTTTTAGACAGGGGAGTACCCTGACAGCCCATCTGAGAACCCACACAGGTGAAAAGCCATATTCTTGCAAAGCATGTGGAAAATCTTTTAGACAGGGGAGTACCCTGATAGCCCATGTGAGAACCCACACAGGTGAAAAGTCGTATTTTTGTGAAACATGTGGGAAAGCCTTCAGAACCAGCGATCACTTGCAACTTCATTTAAGAACCCACACAGGTGAAAAGCCGTATTCTTGTGAAACATGTGGGAAAGCTTTCAGAATCAGCAATCACTTGCAACTTCATATAAGAACCCACACAGGTGAGAAGCCGTATGCTTGTGAAACATGTGGGAAAGCTTTCAAAGTAAGTAGTCAATTGAAAAACCACATAAGAAGAGAACACACAGGTGAGAAGCTGTAGCTTTGCACGATGAAAAGATGTGTTGATGCGTCTGATTTGACACGGGACAGAAGGCAGCATGAAGACAAGTAGTCTTGTGGGAGACGATTCAGTTCTAGAGGTTTATGGTCAAAACTCAAGAAGTCCCTGAAGTGAAGAGCTGGCAAAGTGCAGCACTGTGCTAAAAGTTTTACTGAAATCACATACTTGAAAACACCTGAGGATCAATATACCTCTGGTGATGAAGTCTTTTGAGCGCCATGTGTTGAGCCACCTCAAGTCCACTACAGATCCACTCCTGGACCCCCCCTGCAGTTCGTCTATAGAGCCAACAGGTCTGTGGATGATGCAGTAAATATGTACCTTCACTACACCTCCAGCACCTGGACACTTCAGGAACCTACACCAGGATCCTGTTTGTGGATTTAACCTTTGCTTTCATCACCATCATCCCTACTCTGCTGCAGGTCAAGCTCTCCCAGCTTAGTGTGTCTGCACTCCACCTGCATGGTAGATCACAGACTTCCTGTCTGACAGGAAGCAGCACGTGAACTGGGGAAACATGTCTCTGACTCCTGGACCTCCTCCCCCATCACCGTGTGCTACTCCAGTCAACACTGTGGAGGCCTTCTGCTTCCTGGGAACCATCATCTCCCAGGGTCTGAAGTGGGAGCTAAACATTAGCTCCATCACCATAAAAGCCCAGCAGAGGATGTACTTCCTGCAGCAGCTGAACAAGTTCAGTCTGCCAGAGATAATGATGGTACACTTTTACAATGCTATCATATAGTCTATCTTCACCTCCTCCATCACCATCTGGTACGCTGCTGCCACTGCCAGGGACAAGGGCATTATTCACTCTGCAGAGAAGGTGATCAGCTGCAATCTTCCGTCCCTTCATTACCTGTACACCACCAGAACTCTGAGGCGAGCAGAAAAGATTGAGGCTGATCCCTCCCACCCCGGACAAAAACGGTTTCACATTCCCCTCCAGCAGGACCAAAAGCCCCACACCACATGAAAAATTTCTTCCCATCTGCAGCTGGCCTCAACAAGAGATTCTGAAATTCTTCACCACCTTTTATGCCACAATAGACACTTTGCAGGTCAAGATTTTGTTGTGTAAGAAATATATTATTCCAAGCACTGAGAGAGTATATAGAAAAGAAATAACTGATGTCAAGCATGAAACGAGGTATAATCAGACTGATTCCTAAAGCTGGCAAAGATAAGATAATTTGAGACCAATTACAATGTTTAATTCTGCATATACCCCATAAAACACCAGTGTGAAATAACGGTTACGTATTGCTTAATAGAGAATATGTGTAGAGGAATTATCTAATTGGATTTGGCCTGTTGCTCATTTTATGGATGAGAATAGACATTTGTTACAGCATGAGGAGTTTTGTACAAAATTTCAACTCCAATGTTCTATAAAATACTATAAAAGAGTGATCAAAGCTATACCAATCCCTTTCAGATCATTTATTAAAGAAAACATTCTGTACTCAAAGGGATCCTCCTGAGCTGAGGCAGCTTTGCATTGATGGAATTGACATTTGTGTTGATAAATGTACCAGCAGTATTAGAATCATTCTGGTGAAGGGACGTTACCCTGACCCAGTGAGGAAGGACATATGTTCAAGTTGAAGAGGTGAGGAAAATACGAAAAATAATTATATTTTGTTTCCACTTCCTCCTTAGGTAAAATAAGTAAATGTTAAAATTTTTAAGAGATTTACCCAACAAAGTGATTTTTCAGATTGAGATTTAATTTTGATAAATTGTTAATAAATTGTGTATTTTGGGAAAGGGAAATTGAAAGTTTTTTTTATTGTGAATTTGTGCAGTCCTTTTGGTGTGATATGTGGAGCTGGCTGCAGTCCAAGAAGATGGTGTCCTCACCACTTACCACGAAGACAGTCAAGTTTGTATTGTTTGTTGGAAATAAGGACTTGGATCTTGTTCTCAGTGTTGTGATTCTATTGGGGAAATAGCCCTACTTCATTGTTTTTATTTTTATATTGATTTACCTTATTATTGTATAACTTTCTGTCATTTGATGTGAAGCCTGTTTTCGCTTAAAATGATGTAAGGGTTGTTGTGAAATATAAAACATGATAAAATGGCTGGTTGGTTTGTACCTGTTTATGTTTGTTATGACCTGGCTCAAAAGGCCACAACAAAAGGGAGACACACCATGGTAAAAGGTTACATATGTTTATTTAACGAAAATAAGCCAAATCAATAGTTACTTCAAATTAACATAATTAATGTATGAGGTATGTAGTCTGTGGTTTTAGTAGTGTCTGTGCAGGATGATGGTTGCATGGGTGTATGTGTGAAGGTGTTGTAGCATGCAAACAAAACAAATACCACAACGCAACAGTGCAACCAAAGAAAACCAAACTAAATTAAAGACCAGGGAGCCGGCCGCAGGGAGGTCTGATCTGGTCCTGATAGCAGCTCCCTGCAGAATGAGAAAACAATCCCAAATACTCTACAGGGCAATTAGCCCAGGTGCCCAGAGCCACTGCAATCAGCCCCTCCTCCAAGAGAGAGAGAGACCACACTCATGACCCCACAGGGCGTCACAATGTTCAATAAAAGAAGTTGAAAGCTGAACGAAAAGCTCCTCACTTTCGCTGTCAGAAATTCAACAGTGTGACAGCCAGCAGAAGTAAACAATACAAGCGCCATTGGTCGTGTATCTTTCAAATTCGCTGGAAGTTATTGTAGTTGTATCGCCGCTAATTATTTCATTGTAATTAGGCAACAATGTCTTCAGTTGAGAATTTGAGAGAGTTTGTCAAGAGCCACTAACTGAGTTTTTAAAAACACTATTGTCGAGTACGAGGAAGAGATCGATCGTCAGTGCAGACTGCTGGATATCGTTTGGAAACCCGAAATAAAGTTACACAGGATAGGTGAGGAAAGATTGATTATATTAGTAACACAAAACAGAGGAAATCGATTTATATAAAATCCAAAGTGTTTAAATGTATACTGGAACTCATTTCCTCATGTGTCTACATTTTGTTCTTTCCCATCACAGTAGTAATGTTAGCCTGTTCCTTTTGATCTCTGTCCCTCCAGAGCTCCCACAGCAACATGTCTGTAAGGAGGAGGAGGTTCTGGCTGACCAGCAGCTCTGGATTCATGAGAGGATCCCCGGTCTGGACCAGGAGGACCCACAGCCTCCACAGGTTAAAGAGGAACAGGAGGAACTCCTGACTACCAGTCAGGAGGGAGAGCAGCTTGTAGTGAAGCAGGAGACTGACACCTTTATGTTGACTCCTACTTATGAGGAAAGTGACCACAGTGAAGCAGAACTGAAAAGTGACCACCAGCTCCTCTCTCACAACTGTCATGTAGCTGAGAGCCAAGATCAGAAAAGAGGCGAGCATGAAGACTCAGGATCAACTAGAGACGCAGAGCCAAAACTAAAGAATCAAGATCACTAATGGAGAAGCCCCAGAAACAATGTACACAAGTCTACCATGTCAGAGGTTCACCATAATCCTCACACAGGTAAAAAGTATTTCACATGTGACACATGTGGAAAAGATTTTAAGTACAGTCAGTATTTCAGCAACACCTGAGAATTCACACAGGCGAGAAGCTGTGGGAAAGACTATAGAAACAGACTTAACTTGCAATACCATATGAGAACCCACAAAAGTGAGAAGCCGCATTCTTGCAAAACATGTGGGAAAGACTTCAGAACCAGCAATGAATTACAACTCCATATGAGAACCCACACAGGTGAGAAGCCGTATTCTTGCAAAACGTGGAAAATCTTTTAGCCAGAGGAGTAACTTGATGGCCCATTTGAGAATCCACACAGGTGAGAAGCCGTTTTCTTGTGAAACATGTGGTAAAGACTTCAGGACCCGCTATCAACTGCAAATCCATATAAGATCCCACACAGGTGAGAAGCCGTTCCTTTGCGAAACCTGCGGTAAAAGATTCAGTGACAATTCAGCATTTAAAGAACATACGAGAATCCACACAGGTGAGAAGCCGTATTTTTGTGAAACGTGTGGGAAAGCTTTCAGAGGTAGTACTCAATTGAAAATTCACAGAAGAAAACACACAGGTGAGAAGCTGTATTCTTGCAGAACATGTGGAAAAGTCTTTATCCAAAGGTATAACTTGATAGCTCATCTGAGAACCCACACAAGTGAGAAGCTGTATTCTTGCAGAACATGTGGAAAAGTCTTCAATTCAATTAAATTTTATTTATATAGCGCCAAATCACAACAACAGTTATCTCACAGCGCTTTTCATAAAAGAGCAGGTCTAGACCGTACTCTATGATGGTATTTACAGAAGCCCAACAGTTCCCACCAAGAGCAAGCACTAGGCGACAGAGGCAAGGAAAAACTTCCTTTTAAGAGGCAGAAACCTCTTTACAGACAGTAAAGGTGATGTTGCTATAGACTAAATGAAAAATGGTACAGATATTTATAGTAGTGTTAATGATAATAATCATAATGTTAATGATTATAATAACAATAATAACAAGAGGACTAGTAACAATAGTTGTTGCAGCAGAGGGTGTCGAGCAGGAACAAGGGGGCAGCAGGTGACCCTCAGCCACAGATCCAGACTCCACAGCTCCAGAGCCAGAAAACCTGCAGGAAGTGATAGGAGGAGAGAGGAGAGGGACGAGAAAGCACAAGACTACCAGAAAGGGGAGAAGTTGTGTTAGTAACATGCAATAATGGGATGAGGTTGCATACAGAGGGAGAGAAAGTAGAGGAGAGAGGAGCTCAGTGCATCATAGGAAATCCCCCGGCAGTCTAGGCCTATAGCAGCATAACTAAGGGATGGTTCAGGACTAACCTGAGCCAGCCCTAACTATAAGCTTTATCAAAGAGGAAAGTCTTAAGCCTACTCTTAAATGTGGAGATGGTGTCTGCCTCCTGAACCCAAACTGGAACCTGGTTCCACAGGAGAGGAGCTTGATAGCTGATTGCTCTGGCTCCAAGTCTACTTTTGGAGACTCTAGGAACCACAAGTAACCCTGCATTCTGGGAGCGCAGTGCTCTGGTTGGGTAGTAAGGTACTATGAGCTCTTTAAGATAAGATAGTGCCTGACCATTAAGAGTTTGGAGGTAAGAAGAATGATTTTAAATTCTACACACCGTCGTCAGCAGGTTCCAGCATGCCAGGACGCAAGGAGAGGTGTTCCGGCAGTATCTCCCTCGCCAGTCTGGGTCCAGGATTTCAACGGCTGCAGAGAGCCCAGTCGTCGTCCAGCTCCTACCGCCAGAAACAGTGTCGCTTCTTGGGTACCCTCAGCGGGGGGGGCCCCTCCCCCCTCCTGGTGAACATTTCCCCATGGATCCTGCGCACTGTAGTGAGTGGGTACAGACTGCAGTTCCGGGTCCGCCCACCCAGGTTCAACAGGGTGGTCTGGACTGTGGTGCACCCGGAGCAGGGCCCGGTGTTGGGACAAGAAGTTTGCTCGCTGCTGGAGAAGGGGGCCGTGGAGCTCGTTCCCCCGCCAGCCAGGGAGTCCGGGTACTTCGTAGTTCCCAAGAAGGACGGAGGGTTGCATCCGATTTTGGATCTGTGGCGCCTGAACCGGTCTCTGAGGAGATTTGGGTTCAATATGCTCACCATCCCCGCCATCGTGTGTCACATCCAATCCGAGGATTGGTTTGTCACGATAGATCTACGAGATGCATATTTCCATATCTCCATCCATCCCTCTCACAGGAAGTTCCTGAGGCGTACCAATATCGGGTTCTTCCGTTCGGCCTAGCACTCTCCCCTCGCACGTTCACCAAGTGTATGGATGCAGCTCTGGCCCCGCTGAGGCTCCAGGGCATCCGCGTGCTGATCTACATCGATGACTGGCTCATTCTGGCCCGTCTCGGGAGTTGGCTGTTTGGCATCAAGAAGTGGTCCTTGGCCACCTTCAGTGTTTGGGGCTTCGGCTCAACGCGAAGAAGACGGACTACGTTCCTAGGGGTGGTATGGGACTCAACGTCGATGCGGGCCCAACTATTTCCATTTTGTCCACGGTAACCGGGGTGAAGCTAGGCCTCACCATCACAGTGAAACACTTTCAGAGGGTGTTGGGTCTCATGGCAGCTGTATCCAGCGTAATACCTTCTGGCCTGCTACATATGAGAGCCCTGCAGTGGTGGTTGAAGACCAAGGGGTTCTCCCCGAGGTGGAACCCGTTCCGTCTGATACGGGTTATGAGCAGGTGCCTTCGTTCCCTGTCTGTATGGAAGAAACCTTGGTTCTTGTCCCAGGGTCCCAAGTTGGGAGCGCCATGTCGCCGGACAATTATTTTGACAGACGCCTCCCTCACGGGGTGGGGCGCGGTCATGGACGGCTGCTTTTCAAGAGGATCCTGGCAGGAGCGTCATTTCTTGTGGCATATAAATTGCTTGGAAATGTTGGCAGCTTTCTGCCCGACCTCCGAGGTTGCCATGTCCTTGTCAGGACCGACAGTACGGCAGTGGTGGCCTATTTGAATGACCGGGGGGTCTGCGCTCGCACCCATTGTGCAGACTGGCGCATCAGATCCTCCTGTGGTCCCAGCAGAGACTATTGTCTCTTACGGGCCCAGAACCAGGGAGCGGACCTGCTGTCGAGACAGGGGCTGAGGCCTGGGGAATGGAAAGGTTCGGCCCAATAGACGTGGACCTGTTTGAGACTACGCACTGTCCACTGTGGTTCTCCCTCTTCGCCCCGTCACAAGTTTTATTATGACGGGGTGGTATGTGACGTGGTGGTAAATTTCTACCTAAAATGGCTGCAGTTCTCTATGTGGTTAAATTCCTGACCAGTTTTCCCAATCTATTTTGCGTGACGGGGTGGCTGGTTTGAGCTTGACAGACCTTGAATAATACTTAACAAAAATTAACAAATAAACAATGTAAATTAATCTCAGTACATGCCTGCCTTTGTTATAGGCAGCACCAAAAGCTCAAATGATGTCACTTCCTCTTTGTGATGTCATTTAAAGCAAGATTTTTTTGGGCCAAAACAAGTTAGTATGACAGGGTGGTAAGTCAAACTGAGGGACGCACAAAAATAATAAAATATTTACAAAATAAATATAAATAATCTATTTATATCTTAAGTAAACAGGGACACAAATACAATCCTGAAAATAATCATGGTTTGAAAAAATATTAAACTTATTTGGCTATATTTTAGATGCAAATGTCTTAAGGACGTGAAATTGGCCATGTACTAATGAAAAACCATTAAAAATAGTATGTTATTCTTTAGAAATAGTATTTTTATTATATATCATGCTAACAAGAACAATTGAATTAATAGCTTTAAGCTTTGGAAACACACTTTGGGATATTTTTGTAACTTCTACATACATCTCATCAAACGTTGCGGACCCAAATGGCACCTGTTTCATAGATGAACTGGCAACCTGTCCAGGGTGGACCCCGCCTATCGCCCGATGTCTGCTGGGATTGGCTCTAGTTTATCCCCGCGACCCTGTACGCAGGATAGGCGGTTGACGACCCCCCTCTTTTTTTTTTATTGGAGTCAGTAGTAATTATTTTTAATAATAAATATATTTATATTGCCTATGAAACTTATAATTAAATTGTAGCTCAATGATTTATAGGGTTCAGTTTGACTAATGGCACAACAATTTTTAAGGGTTGATACAGTATGTCTCTAAAATGCAGGAAATTAAGTTTTTAATATTTAAAATCTTCTGGGGGTGTACCCTCAGACCCCCCTATCAACTATTTCGTCAGTACATCCCCCCCCCCAAATACTAAGCCTATTTAAATATACTGTCTTGTTTTCATGGCCTCACTATTTGTGCAGTGTCAAGTCTAAGCCCTTAAAAGCAAGGATAGTGTATTGGTGAGGGGTGTCCGACCGATTTTGGTGGGCCGCCTGGGCCAAAAATGCCAGGGCCGATTTTTTGTCCCAGTCCAGCCCTGGCTGCATCTGACACATGCAGGGAGACAGAAATTATTAAACATGAAACAGACGTAGTCTATAATAATGCGTCGATTTGATGTGTTCTTATGAGCTATATGAAAATATCAGCCTTATTTTTTCAGCTCAGCTGTGTCGGCGTTTCCACATTAAAAGACTCAGGCACTGAATAAGTGGTCTTCCACCTCACTTTAAAAAAACTTTTCATCACTTCAAAAATTAGATTAATTTATTTAACACACTCAAAAGTGTTCCAAACATTGTTCTAAATTAACTTCATAAACCAATGAAACGAAAAATCCATTCATGCCATAACATGTGCTCAGATAGTGGCTGAAATACTGAATCTCAACATTTAGGCTGCTGAAAACTCACCTCATTACAACATGACCAATCACTGTGATAAGATAGCTACTAACTAGCCTCCATTAATATTAAAATGTATTTCAATATCCCTACCAAACTGATCATAATATTCAGCCTCACATGAGAAAAAATAAACTCATTTATTTTAATGGCTGCAACAGGCTGTGTGAAACAGACTGGGGCGTTTTCTCTTATAACCTGCTCCGGAGCAGGTTAGCCGTGGTACTGAAAACCCAGGGTTAATCCCTAAATTACCTGGGTAAGCTCAAACCTTGCTTCGTGGTACAGGCCCCTGCTCTATATGGAAAATGTGATGTGTAAACTTCTATGTTTTGGCGTTATACAAATTATTTTTTTTAAATGAAACTGAATGAAAGCCACATTTTTCTTGATAAATAACTTACAGGGTTAATTGATTGTCTGTTAATGTTGTTTATTTTGAGAAATACCATTGACTATCAACTACAAACACAGATCCAAAACCACAGAAAAGTCATCACAAATGTAAGAGTCACACTAAAAACTTTCACCATAGGTTAATGCGTTAAAAACTTCTTGAAATGTGTCAAATGGAAAAGCTTTTAAAAGTCAAATATTCAGCAACACCAGAGCCTCCCCACAGGGGAGAAGCCATATTCTTATATACAGTTTCAATTCAGTAAAAAATGTATAACCTCACAGTTCAGCAACAATCAAGTCAATTTATTTACATACATTACAATTATGTCTGAGCAACAGCACTTCTTATAACAATCAGTCTTGTACGTCTTAGAAATCTTTGTTTCACAGTGAGTGAATATTCCAGCGTCAGTAAATAAAGCTTTGAATAAAATGTCATCTTTTGGAATGATGTAAGAAATATATTTTATCCCAAGCACTGATAGAGTGTATCGAAGAAAGAACTGATATCAAGCATGAGGTTTAATCACACAGATTCCTAAAGCTGGCAAAGATAAAAGAATACTGTGTAAAAACAACTTGGTAATAAATCTGATACTGATTCAGCTCCTACTTGTAAAAATTGTTGGGTAGTTTGATTTATAAAAAAAATGTATTTTTATATACATTTTCTTATGTTGTGTGTGAAAAAAAGTAAAAAGTACAATATCTCCCTCTAAGATGTGGGCTTGACTCACAGACGTCTTTTGTATTACTTAGCAAATATTTTTGCACGTTAATCAAATGTCACTGATGTCCTAACATGTAACATTTATACGTAGTAGCTAGTCAACGTTGAGCTACATTTTGCCTATTATACATCCTACAGCATTAATTAAAGCCTCTCTGTGAAACAAAGATTGAAAGACGTAGAAGACAGACTGTTCTTAGAAATGCTGTTGCTGAAATCTAATGTAATGTATGTAAATACAGACTCACCTGTTGCAGAACTGTGAGGTTATAAATCTTTTTACTGAATTGAATATCTGTATATTTTGTAACAATACTGCTTCTCACCTGTGTGTACGCTCTGTGTGGTGTCTCTGAAATTCTGACTTGTAGTTAAAAGCTTTCCCATTTGTCATATTTGAAATACTTTTTTATGAAAAAACAAAGAAAGTTGCGTGACGCTGCGGAGAGCCTCCAGCTGCAATAGCACTGCAGCCATTAATTTTTATTTTTCTGTATCATGGAACATGCATAAAATCAGGTTTCGGATGAATCCAGACACTCCTGATTTTACGCATGATCCATGTTACTGAAAAATAGAAATAAATGGCTGCAGTGCTACCACAGCTGGCAAAAATAGAATATTGTCAACATTTTAGAGACCCCCAAAATGTCACAAATCATATTTTCTAGGGGAGCTCATGTCTTAAGAGAAGCCAAGCTCCTGCGTAGTTTGAACCTTGCTTCATGCCACACGCAGAATTTAACAGATAATTAAACAGTTAAATATTCAAATATGGGAACACCTAAAAATAAAATGAAACAACATAGTTATTTATATACATAGCAATTTCAGAATAAAAACTCAGATGATCAAGTCAAAGTCATACAAGATGCCCCACATATAGGTCTAGGCAAGTATACGCTTTTTGGCAACCATTTTGCTGTGTAATTACCCTTCTCTGATTAATGGCAGCCTACACACAGAACTTAACAGATAATTATCTGTATATAAGATAACATATAAAAAACAATATCTATGGCAACTGGTATCCGCAGTTTTTCTTTGCTCCGTGGTCAACTTAAACAGCAGCAACAAGATGATAATGTGTTAATCATTCTCACATAAAAAGTCTGACATTTAGGAAACACTATCCATCTCAACAGCATTTTAGCACCAAGCATCATCATGTAAAACGGAGTCCCTCCCTGGAGTCTTGTGCTGACAGCTTGATCCAGAATGTTGATAAGCAGGTCTCTGTAAAGATTTGGTCACAGCAGTCTCTGATTTTCCCATTTTGTCCGGTCCAGAGGCTTAGGAGCAGCGTTAAGTCCAAGCTGGGCCAACATAGCTCAGGGCCCGTATTTATTTACTCATAAATACACTGCTAAGAATTGACTTAAGAGTTAAAGAATTCTTGGCTCAAAGCTGCGCTTAAAATTTAGTTATCATGCATCTCAGTCCTAATTTAAATGAAGTGTAGGAATAAGTCTTAAGTGTCAGTCTTAGAGCTGATTCACGACACTTTGTTGAATATTTAAGAATATTCTCAGATAAATTCACATTTAATGGTGATGAGTTTACATTCAACACACATTTGACAATTTTTATATACACTTTACTTGTGGCTACAAGGTACTATCTTGTGGCCACGAGATGGCCTATCACGAGATACTATTTCGTGGACACAAAATTATTTTTCATCTGACAAATCAGATGAATCAACACATATTTCCGTCGTGAAAAGCTACAGCTTCTCACCTGTGTGTTCTTTTATGTGGATTTTCAATTGACTACTAACTATGAAAGCTTTCCCACATGTTTCACAAGAATACGGCTTCTGGCCTGTGTGGATTTTTATATGTCTTCTAAATCCTGAAGTGTCAGTGAATCTTTTCCCGCAGGTCTTGCAAAGGTACGGCTTCTCACCTGTGTGGATTCTTATATGTCTTTTAAATGCTGAAGTGTCACGGAATCTTTTCCCGCAGGTCTTGCAAAGGTACGGCTTCTCACCTGTGTGGGTTCTCAGGTGGAGTTTCAAGTGACCCCTTTGGCTAAAAGATTTACCACATGTTTCGCAAGAATACGGCATGTCACCTGTGTGTTCTTCTCTTATGTGGTTTTTCAATTGACCACAAACTCTGAAAGCTTTTCCACATGTTTCACAGGAATAAAGCTTCTCACCTGTGTGTTCTCTTCTCATGTGGTTTTTCAATTCACCACTAACTCTGAAATCTTTCCCACATGTTTCACAAGAAAACGGCTTCTCACCAGTGTGGGTTCTAATATGGAGTTGCAAGTGATTGCTGGTTCTGAAGTCTTTCCCACATGTTTTGCAAGAATACGGCTTCTCACCTGTGTGGGTTCTCATGTGGACTATCAAGGCACCTCTCCATCTAAAATAATTCCCACATGCTTTGCAATAATATGGCTTCTCACCTGTGTGGGTTCTTATATGGAGTTGCAAGTGATCCCTGGTTCTGAAGGCTTTCCCACATGTTTTACAAGAATACGGCTTCTCACCTGTGTGGGTTCTCATGTGGACTATCAAGGCACTTCTCCCTCTAAAACAATTCCCACATGTTTGGCAAGAATACGGCTTCTCACCTGTGTGAATTCTCCCGTGTCTCTGAAATTCTGACATGTATTGAAACCCTTTTCCACATGTCTCACATGTGAAAGAGTTTTTACCTGTATGGCAATTTTGTTTTGGCTCTGCATCTCTAGTTGATCCTGAGTCTTCATGCTCGCCTTCTTTCTGATCTTGGCTCTCAGCTACATGACAGTTGTGAGAGAGGAGCTGGTGGTCACTTTTCAGTTCTGCTTCACTGTGGTCACTTTCCTCATAAGTAGGAGTCAACATAAAGGTGTCAGTCTTCTGCTTCACTACAAGCTGCTCTCCCTCCTGACCGGTACAGAGTTCCTCCTGTTCCTCTTTAACTTGTGGAGGCTGTGGGTCCTCCTGGTCCAGACTGGGGATCCTCTCCTGAATACAGAGCTGCTGGTCAGCCAGAACCTCCTCCTCCACACAGACATGTTGCTGTGGGAGCTCTGGAGGGACAGAGAGAAAAAAAAAGGGACAGGCCAACATTACTACTGTGATGGGAATCCAAAAACATGCAGACACACAAGGAAATGAGTACCAGTATACATTTATTCATTTAGCTGACGCTTTTATCATAAGCGACTTACAATTGCTATACATGTCAGAGGTAGCCTCTGGAGCTACAAGGGGTTAAGTGTCTTGCTCTGGAGGGACACACTGGTGGCTGGGTCACACTGGGGGATTGAACCCAGGTCTATATAGTATATTAAACATTTTAGATTTTATATAAAATCGATCTCCTCTGTTTTGTGTTACTAATTTAATGAACCTTTCCTCACCTATCCTGTGTAACTTTATTTCGGGTTTCCAAACGATATCCAGCAGTCTGCGCTGACGATCGATCTCTTCCTCGTACTCGACGATAGTGTTTTTTTAAAAACTCAGCAGTTAGTCGCTCGTTGACATACTCTCTCAAACTCTCAACGGAAGACATTGTTGCTTCATTACAAATTAAATAACTAACGGTGCTATGACTACAATAACTTCTTCCAGCAAATTCACATGCTGCCCCCATCCAAAACTGCGAAATTTGGGAAAAACTATTTGAAAATCTAACTAACCAAAAGAAACAAATTCAAATCAGAGTTGTTGTTTTAAGTTTTCATCAGTCAGAAAGTTTTTACACAGAGCTGAAGTCGGTCTCCTCTTCTCCAAAACAAACGGAACAGCTTATTACAGCAAGTAATAAAGCTTGTTAAAAACCATGTTACTTTGACGCTCAGGAGACACAGACTTGAGTCTGGTCTGCAGCTCTTGTCAGCTGGAAATGTTTTAATAACCTTCCAAACTGTCGCGATTTTATGTTTGTGTTTTTCTTCTTCTCTATGCTGGAGTTATTTTATGTACTTGATGGCTTTATCCAGTTTGTTATTAAATTTGTAACAACCTTTATTGTGTAACTTCACAAAAAAAGCTGCTTTAATGGTCAAGGATAGCCTATAGATTTTCATTATATTCCAGTCAAATCTGATGTTCATTTATAAATGTTGCACATGGATAGTGGTTACCAAATAACGATGCCTGTCCATCGCTTTGTATGGCGTATAGGCCTATACATCAGCTAGTTTATTTGCATAATCTTCATAGGTCTCCATGCACACAACAATGGGCTGAAGGAACCTTTAGTTCCTCGAAAAGAGATCCAGGAACTTTTGGTGGCAACATGGCTTAAAATGACAAATCCGAAGACCTAAAACGGAGAAGTCTGAAAACGCTGCCGACCAGATTTTTGTTTTAAAACTCCTGGGGGAACGTATTAGTGCGGACAGGCGAAAATAGAGAACTTAAAAACGATGAGGCAGAGACATCCTTATTGGGTCTTATCAGTTTTAGATTTGGTGTTTTTATTAATATTTTTTACGGTTCAAATAGCACTTGTAGCATACACTTGTACTGTACTGGAGATCAATTCTTATAAACAGCTAAAACGCTGGTGTGGACGAAGATTGTATTCGTTTTAAAAGTAGTGTGGATTTTGCCTAAGTGAGCACTGTGAAGAGCAGAGGTGAAAGAACACAGCCTTGAAGGGAACCCGTGCTGATGGTCTGGGAGTCAGTGGACCTTTCCGGAAGTATTTGCTACTCCCTCTCCCTACCTACTTCCATTCCGTTTGCGCATCCGCCACATTGAGCGCCATCCGTAACCGATGAAGGCAGAGTTGTAGTGGGTTATTAAACCCTCCAATGCTGGCTTTTTGAAGATGTGTAACAATCTTTGCTGCACGATGGGGGACCTTTCTTTCAAATGTAAGTTCCGTGTGACTACACCCGTGAACATGTAGGATTTTTATATTCTGTAACTACACTTATATTTCTATATCACTATACAGAGGTTAACAACACAGCCCAAAGGTTATATTGTGTTAAGTAAATACAAAAATGCTCTTGTCTAATAGACAATAATCTCTGGTAAAACAACCAATTATCACAATTATCCATCTTCAGCCAAAACAAAAGTAGGCCTACACAAAACAACTGAATGAACAACTAGATGGCGGTGTCACGTAACAAAGGCATTAAGAAAACTATTTATATCTACACATTTTACCTATTTTAATTGATTTAGTATTATTCAGACCATATAATGCTTCAATAAAAAGTTTGACTTCTATTTTGAAACGTATTTGTGGATTCTTTTTAGACCATTTTTATTTGTGAATGTAGCATTTTTTTATATAAGATAAAGATGATCGTAATACGTAAGCTAGTCTTTTACAATCAATATCAATCTTTATAAGAGATAATGTCTCTTTTTCATAAATAGCTTAAGTCAAAATCTAAAAGCAATATTTTAAATCTAACCAAAATAATTTATACATAAACATAAGAAAATTACAAATGTTATCAGTTTCGTTATTGTAGAACACACAATTTTCCTTAACATCAATCCTGAATCTTATGAATTTTAATACAACTGTTTGTTTGATACACATATGCAGCAGATAGTGCCGTCAGATCCTATTCACGCAAGGCAAAGGGTAGTTCGTCTGAAAGTTGGCAACTGTATTTATACTCTACGCCTTAAGCCTAATTCACACTACACGATTTTAAGCCCGATTTACCGGTCAGCGACTTTCATTCATTCAACCATATTTTTTGTCTTTATAATTGGTATCTTTACAATAAACAACAGCTGTTTCATGTGCAGGTTCGCGTCATTTCCCGTTTTACATGCGTTTTCTTGACAAAACGTGGTTTGGAGACCAGCGTCGTGTGACAGAGTTGTTGTCAGCTCACGCAGTGTGTGACCCCGTCACTGATCAGTCACGTAGTGTGAACGCCACAATGACTTCAAGACTCCGGTCACAAGACGGAAAGTTGTGTTTCGGCCAACGCTGAAAGTTGTGTAGTCTGCACGAGGCATTAAGAGAACTTGATTTGGCAGTGAGGAGTGGGTCTGTAGTGGTCTTGAGGTGGAGCAACACATCATGCACAAAAGACTTCATAACCACAGAGGTATATTAATTCTTATATGTTTTCAAGTATGCAATGTCAGTAAAACTTTTACCACAAGTACTACAATTATGCAGCTCTTTACTTCTGAATTCTTGAGTTTTGACCACAAACCTCTAGAACCGAATTGTCTCCCACAAGATTACTTGTCTGTATGCTACCTTCTGTGCCGTGTCAAATCAGACGCATCAACAATCTTTCCTCATGCAAAGCTACAATTTCTCACCTGTGTGTTCTCCTCTTCCGTGCTTTTTCAAGAGTACAGTTGTGAAAGCCTTCCCACATGTTTCACAAGAATATGGCTTCTCACCTGTGTGGGTTCCTTTATGTCTTTTTAATGATGAAGTGTCAGTGAATCTTTTCCCGCAGGTCTTGCAAAGGTACGGCTTCTCACCTGTGTGGATTCTTATATGTCTTTTAAATCCTGAATTGTCACTGAATCTTTTCCCGCAAGTCTTGCAAAGGTACGGCTTCTCACCTGTGTGGGTTCGCACGTGGACTTTCAAGTGACAACTCCGGCTAAAAGATTTCCCACATGTTTTGCAAGAATACGGTTTCTCACCAGAGTGGGTTCTTCTATGGCATAGCGTATTGTTTTGGCTCTGCATCTCTACTTGATCCTGAGTCTGATCTTGGCTCTCAGCTACATGACAGTTGTGAGAGAGGAGCTGGTGGTCACTTTTCAGTTCTGCTTCACTGTGGTCACTTTCCTCATAAGTAGGAGTCAACATAAAGGTGTCAGTCTCCTGCTTCACTACAAGCTGCTCTCCCTCCTGACCGGTACAGAGTTCCTCCTGTTCCTCTTTAACCTGGTGAGGATCTGGGTCCTCCTGGTCCAGACCGGTAAAGGTATCAGTCTCCTGCTTCACTACAAGCGGCTCTCCCTCCTGACTGGTACAGAGTTCCTCCCGTTCCTCTTTAACCTCTGGAGGCTGTGGGTCCTCCTGGTCCAGACCAGGGATCTTCTTGTGAATACAGAGCTGCTGGTCAGCCAGAACCTCCTCCTCCTTACAGACATGTTGCTGTGGGAGCTCTGGAGGGACAGAGAACAAGAGGAACAGGCTAACGTTATTACTGTCAGTGTTTCCCCTGTATGAATTCAGGAGCGCTGTTGCAACATTAAGCCGCTACTAAAATTTCCCACGATCTCTAATCAACGCGCTACTAATGTTTTCACTCGCACAATGTGCGAGCACAGTTACTCTAAACACTTGGCTAGCTTCCTCTCCTCATTCTTCAAAGAACATCTACATGACAGGTTCTGTTATGAGCGAGTGTTTGATTGTCCGAGAGGCAGAAAGTGACAGTGAATGCGAGGAAAATATTCTGCCAGGGTGGTGATGGTGCTGTGGATAAGACACCTGGGTTTGAATCCACTGTGAGACACTGAGCAAGACTCCTAGTTTCTCCTTTGTGACCTCTGACACATAGCAATTGTAAGTCACTTTGAATTAATAAATGTAAATGTACAGTGTCGGTTACAGTGTGTCAGCTTCTCAAGAAAAGCCTGTCTCTTGTTCCCCAAATAGCTGGAAAAGTGAAGCGCTAGCAAACATCTCCCCTCCCCTTTAGGCTGAGCAAAGTTGAAATTACCCAAACGTCTTTTGGCTGCTATGTAACTTAACATTAGCTACATTTATAGGAAGTATGCCTGCTAGTAGTTGCATTTCATTACTGCCTATTTTTCAAGTGTTGAGAACATTTGGTACAAGCTTAGACTAAGCCTACAGCTCTGTCACATACACAGAATGTACACATTAACTATTTTTTAAATCATTTTTCGGACTGGTTGTTAGGAAAAGAAAGTGGTGACTGTGTAGGAGCTGAGGTTTTGTAAAGCAAGTTAGGGATGCAAACAAGTCTCTTTTAAGTTAATGAGGAGACGTTTCTTTTGAATTTTATAATGCAAATTAAATAGTTGTATTTAAGGGAGGTGGTTCTCATATTGCCTATTTTTCATATTAATTTCTACAGATAAATGTGAAATGCTGTAAATTAAGACACAAAAGGCATGAAAGTCCTATCTAGAATGATTCGGAGGTTGTATTAACAAGGTTTCCATAGGCTTAAAAGGTGAGGCCCAAAAAGGCTTGGGTGCTGTGCCATGAATTTAAAATCAGATCTGTGGAGAGAGCACAAAAACTAAGTAACTTCCAAAAGACAAATTCTTCAGCAAGTTTAGTCCTTAGCTTTTTGTTTGTTTATTTTTTATCTGCTCTTACTTTTCCAACTATTTGTTCACAGATACGGTAAAAATAATGGTCCCAAATGATGTGAAATTGCATATTTGCATTGGTAAAAGTAAAGTTTTCTTGGGGGAGGACCCCCAAATCCACCCCCCAGGAAAATGTATAAAATTACGAGTTTAATACTGAAAATCTTCCCAAGAGCCCTCCCTTCTATCTTTAATCACCAAAAATTTCTTCAAAATAATATTGAAATAACTACTGGTTTTGAAATGTATTGTCACACCCCTAATCTGAGCCCTTATGTCCCTACCACTTTTGTGACGGTTAAATTGTTAAACTTGTTCCTCTGCATGAATGGTTCTGATTATTGACAAGTTAGAACTTAGCATTAAGAAATAAGAGACTAACTCTCAGAGAAGATGGATGGTTTGAAAGAGGTGTCAAGGAAGCCATCTACACCAGGGTTGAGAAGCCGTCATTGAACAGGGGAGGGGGTCTACGCCACCACTTATCCCCCACTTACAATGCTGTCCTTTCATCACTTCCCAGGAAACTCAACAAACGTAACCTATTGGCCTCAGGTGAAGATACCAACGATGGTCGTTCAGTCTTGGCCACAGGTAGTCTCGACGACTGTAACGACTGTCGTCACAGCAACAAGGAACACTAACGAACCAGCGGTATCGATGACCCGGGCCAACGACCCCACTGAGGTTAAATAGCTGAGTTTCCCTGCCAGTCAGTCAGAACTGAAGAAGTCCTTTGGATGAGGGACGAAACGTCTTCCAGTAGCTTCAACCAAGTCCAGTTGCCCTTCATTTTAACCTTCGTTGGATAACTATGACCTGGATGACTGAGAATCTTCATAGACAAGCTTAATATTCGTTATACTTGAAAGTATAACGAATATTAAGCTAATACACACGCCAACACATGAATGGACAATACTGGCACCTATTTTGTTCCACTTCATGCACTGGGTATGTTAAACATTTTGAATTTCATATAAATCGAATTCTTCTGTTCTGTGTTAAAATAATACAAAAACTTATTCCCGCCACTGTGATGAAAAAAGGTTCTGTAAGTAGGCTAATTATAACAAGACTTTCTCAGAATATTGACTTAGTACCTCAAAATCATTATATGGAGATACTAAGATTTTATTTATAGATACTAACTCAAAATGTTTAGTTTTTTCATTACAGTGATTTATATGACGTTTTCCCATCACAGTGGCGGGAATGGGCTTCTATAATATAACGAATCTTTCCTCACCTATCCTGTGTAACTTTATTTCGGGTTTCCAAACGATATCCAGCAGTCTGCGCTGACGATCGATCTCTTCCTCGTACTCGACGATAGTGTTTTTAAAAACTCTGAATATTTCTTCTGCAGCAGCAGTTAGTCGCTCGTTGACAAACTCTCTCAAACTCCCAACTGAAGACATTGTTGTTTCATAAATAATTAGCGGTGCTACGACTACAATAACTCATTCAAAGAATTCAATACACGCGGCTAACGCTGGCGCTTGTATTGTTTACTTCCGCCGGATGTCACACTGTTAGATTCCGACAATGGAAGTGCGGGAGCTTTTCGTTCCGCTTTATAATATTCCAGTTATGCCTAGAGAATTTGTATTTGACGCCATTCCATCAGGCACAATGCTTTTTAGAAATACTGGCAGCCCTCCACCTACTTCTGTCTCAGGTGTGGCTGAATCACCAGTTGGAAAAATCTGTTTTTCTCAACTTCCTCAAAATAATAATAATAATAATAATAATAATAATAATAATAATAATAATAATAAACAGTCTCTGAGTAGTCTTCTGGTTTATTAGAAAACCAAGATGGCCGTCCCGGGATTACCCTCAGTAGTGTTTTTTGTGTTTTTGTTAATTAACGTTGTTTTCTGCCGTCCCTCTCTGGAAACTTTTACCAGAGAAGAGCTCTTAAACATTGGACTTTCAACTGCTCTATTCCAACGCTCTTTATTGACCCTGGAACTTTCCCAGAGTTATTAGTTGGAGGAGCGGCAGCTCTGTTTGGGATCCTTTGAAAACAGGACAGGGGAAAACGTGCAGGCGCGCTGGTTAAGCTGAGACAGCGGGGATTTCACGCTGCGCTCCCTTCAATCCACCTGCCGAATGTCTGCTCTCTGGCCAACAAAATGGACGAACTGCTGCTCCTCAACAGAACTAATTCGGACTTCTGCAGATCTGCTGCCTTTTCTGTTTCACCGAATCCTGGCTAACTGAGCGCATCCCGGACAGCGCACTTCATCTACTGGTATTTAATCTCATCTGCGCAGATCGCGAAAGGGAGCTCACAGGAAACAGTGTTTGTTTCTATATAAACAAAGGTTGGTGCACAGATGTCACAGTGTTGAAGAAATCATGCAGGCCTCAATTAGAGACATTATTGATAAACTGTAAACCGTTTTATTCAGCGCGGGAGTTTTCCTCGTTTGTCCTGGTCACTGTTTACATTCCACCTCAGGCCTGTGTTAGTGAGGGGTTACTACACCTGGCCGACCAGATAACTAACGTGGAGAAAAAACATCCAGACTCCCTGCTCATTGTTTTTGGGGACTTTAACAAATCAAACCTCAGTCATGAACTTCCAAAATACAGACAGCATATTAAGTGCCCCACCAGGGACATTAACACACTGGACAACTGCTACACAACATTAAAGGACGCCTATCGCTCTGTTCCCCATGCAGCCTTAGGACTCTCTGATCACTGTCTGGTTCATCTTATCCCAACACACAGGCAAAAACTGAAATCTGCTAAACCTGTTGTAAAGACAGTGAAAAGATGGACCAACGAGTCAAAGCTGGAGTTACAGGCCTGCTTTGACTGCACTGACTGGAGTGTTTTTGATGCTGCAGCCACTGACCTGGACGAACTAACTGACACTGTGACATCTTACATCAGTTTTTGTGAGGACATGTGTGCCGAATAAAACCTTACATATATACAAACCATACAACAACCAAAAACCCTGGTTCACAGCGAAACTCAGGCAGCTTCGTCAGACCAAGGAGGAAGCCTTCAGAAGTGGGGACAGAGTCCTGTACAACCAGGCCAGGAACACTCTGACTAAATAGGTTAGAGCTCCAAAGAGGTGCTATGCTCAAAAGCTAAATAACCGCTTTGCAGCCAACGACCCTGCGTCAGTGTGGAGAAGCCTACGGACACTCACAAACTACAAGAGACCATCCCCCAACACTGCTGGTACTCAACGACTGGCAGACAAGCTGAATGGTTTCTACTGTAAGGAAAAGCAAGGCAAGTTTATTTGTATAGCACATTTCAACAAGAAGGTAATTCAAAGTGCTTTACATAAAACACAAAAGCAACAGGGAAATATAAAAAAAAAGTTTAAAAGCAACATAGGGAAATTGAAAAAATACACATTAAATAATAATAAAAGTTACAGTGCAGTGTAAAATATTTAATTAAAAGCAATGGTAAAAAGCTAAAAACAAAGAAAAAGAAAACAATACAATAAAACAAACAGTAAATGTTACAGTGCAGTGTAAGTTATCAATCTACTAGTTAAAGGCAGTGGTAAAAAGAAAAATCTTAAATATTTAATTAAAAGCAATGGTAAAAAGGAAAGTCTTCAGTCTTAATTTAAAAGAACTGACAGTTTCAGCAGACCTGCATTTATCTGAGAGTTTGTTCCATATATACGGAGCATAATAACTGAACGCTGCTTCTCCTTGTTTGGAATTGACTCTGGGGACAGAAAGCAGACCTGCCCCAGATGACCTGAGAGGTCTGGATGGTTCGTAACGAAGCAGAAGATCAGAAATGTACAGCAGGATTTTGAAATGAATTGTTTGACAGACAGGAAGCCAATGTAAAGACCTCAGAACTGGAGTGATGTGATCCACCTTGGTCTTAGTGAGGACTCAAGCAGCAGCGTTCAGAATCAGCTGCAGCTGTCTGATGGATTTCTTAGGGAGCCCTGTAAGGACACCGTTACAGTAGTTGAGTCGACTGAAGATAAATCCATGGATAAGTTTTTCCAGGTCTTGCTGAGACATAAGTCCTTTAATCCGTGATATATTCTTCAGGTGATAGTATGCTGACTTTGTAATTGTCTTAATGTGGCTCCTCAATTTCAAGTCTGAGTCCATGACTACACCAAGATTTCTGGCTTGATTTGTGGTTCTTAACATTACAGACTGAAGTCGAGCACTGACTTTCAATCGTTCCTCCCTGGCTCCAAAAACAATAACCTCAGTTTTATCTTTGTTCAATGGAAGAAAATTCCGGCACATCCAGCCGTTGACCTGCTCAATACAGTTACTCAGCACCCGTATGGGATCATAGTCCCTTGGTGAAATGGTTATGTAAATCTGTGTGTCATCTGCATAATTATGGTAACATATTTTGTTGTTTTTCATAATCTGAGCCAGTGGAAGGTTTGAAAAGCCCAGAGTCACACCTCTCCCCCACTCCAACGCCATCTTCAAACAGTCACCTTCCCCCTCTAACCTCTCACCTGCACTCAAGATCTGTGAAGAGGACGTGAGCCACCTCTTCCAAAGGCAGAAGATCAGGAAGGCTCCTGGACCTGACGGTGTGTCTCCATCCTGCCTGAAAATCTGTGCAGACCAGCTGGCCCCCATCTTCACTCAGATCTTCAACAAATCACTGGAGCTGTGTGAAGTTCCCTCCTGCTTCAAACGCTCCACAATCATCCCGGTCCCAAAAAACCCCTCCATCTCTGGACTAAATGACTACAGGTCTGTCGCCCTGACATCTGTAGTCATGAAGTCCTTTGAAAGACTGGTGTTGGCCCACCTGAAGGACATTACAAGCCCCCTGCAGTACTGTGCAGTTTGCCTACAGGGCTAACAGGTCTGTGGATGATGCTGTGAACTTGGGTCTGCATTACATCCTGCAACACCTCGACTCTCCAGGGACATATGCAAGGATCCTGTTTGTGGACTTCAGCTTGGCGTTCAACACCATCCCGGACATCCTCAGCACCAAACTCACCCAGCTGACTGTGCCAGCCTCCACCTGTCAGTGGATCACAGACTTCCTGACTGACAGGAGTCAGCAGGTGAGGCTGGAAAACCTCATATCCAGCACCCGGACTATCAGCACTGGCGCCCCCCAGGGGTGTGTGCTCTCCCCACTGCTCTTCTCCCTCTACACCAATGACTGCACCTCAGGAGACCCATCTGTCAAACTCCTGAAGTTCGCTGACAACACAACGGTCATCGGCTTCATCCTGGACAGTGATGAGTCGGCCTACAGATGGGAGGTTGATCAGCTGGCTCTCTGGTGCGGCCAGAACAACCTGGAGCTTAACACGCTCAAAACTGTGGAGATGACCGTGGACTTCAGGAGGAGCCCCCCCACTCTGCCCCCCATCACCATACTCAACAGCCCTGTGTCTGCTGTGGAATCCTTCAGGTTTCTGGGTTCCACTATATCCCAGGACCTGAAGTGGGAGCCCAACACTGACACCATTATCAAGAAGGTCCAGCAGAGGATGTACTTCCTGCGTCAGCTCAACCTGCCTAAGGAGCTGCTGATCCAGTTCTACACAGCCATCATCCAGTCTGTTCTCTGCACCTCCATCACTGTCTGGTTTGGATCTGCCACCAAAAAGGACAGGAGCAGACTACAACGGACAGTCAGGACTGCAGAAAAAATGTTGCTGTTATAGAAGTCAAAGTAAAGAAAACATGTAGGCCTACTTCAATAAATGTATTAATTCTGATGGCAAAATTGCACATTCATAAATGTAAATTATGCAGTACAAAAACCAATTTTGTACTATTTCTCCATGACGTTTTGCATTTTATCAATTTAATTTCTGGCTTCAACAACAAAAACTTTTTTAATAGCCTATAAGCTTCCCCTGGCAAAGCTTTATGTACTGTTGTGTATATCTTTGTAAGTCATATCTGAATTGTAACCCCCTTTTTCCAACAAAGAAGTTTTTTGTTCCACTTACTTCTTCTTCTTCTTCTTCTTCCCTGGGTACATGGTGGATCGCAACAAACTTGTTTAGGTGCATACTGCAACTCGCTGTACCGAAGTGTGTAATATCAAGGCTTATACAGTACTTCAGGTTAGATTAAGTAAGATAAAAATAAACAAATAAAAACAAAACTCAACAAATAAAAAAAGCAAAACAAAAAAATTATGTTACGATCTAATCCTGTAGAATTGAGAATAATAAGAGTTTTGCAGCACTCTCTCATTTTCTCACTCATCCCTAGAATCGCTTTTAAGGCCCCATCCACACTACTACGTTTTAGTTTACAAACCGAGAATTAAAACGAATACGATCTCCGTCCACACCAGTGCTTTAGCTGTGTATCAGAGTTGATCTCCGTCCATATTAAAAATGACTGAAAACGCACATCTATTGACGGGCAAAAACGGAGGACTTTAGAAATGATGACGCAGACGCTCACGCTCGGCTCTCTGATTGGGTCTTATAAGTCATGCAAAGCAGAAACACAATGCTACTTTTTATAAAAATATTTTGTACCCTGCAAATAACACTTAGGCCTATCTGCCTACACTTGTAGGCTACTGTGCAACGGCTCCCAGTCTGTTTTCCGCCGCCGCACACACGTGTTACATCTTTGTTTTTGCCGTTTTAGTCTGGACGGGAGGTGCAAACGTAGCAAAAGGTTTCTCTTTTAATTTGAAAACCCAGTAGTGTTGATGGGGCCTAAATTCCATCCACGTCCTAATTCATCATGTCACACAAGATGTTTCTCTCAGAAACATTTTCAGGAACATTACAAACCTCACATTTATCAGAGACACATTTTTCCATTAAATAAAGAGTTGATTTTAATCCAGTATGTCCAAATCTTAATCTTGAAAAAACACTTAATCTTTTTTGCATTAACCTTTGATAACCTACTCCTTATGGTGTGTTCCCACCGAAAGAGAATTTAATATTCGCTTTGCTTTACTCACGCGAGTTTGAC